AATAACTATGTTTATTAACAACAAAGAAAATTATATACAGTAATGCTCGCTTAAATTCTACAATTTCTAGTCCCACCAATGAAATTTAACCGAACAGAAAAACAAGAGAAAGCTATTTGTTTCCAGGAACTGACTCGAGCACAGCCTGACAAAGGCAGAGTCGATATAGTGAGCGAAAGCAGGATAGACGCAGTCCGTCGAAAATCGAGGGTCGAGACGCAGAACTTCAAAGCGATGCCACACGCGTCAAATATGAACATGCAATGAAGAAAGTTTCAGTTGCAGTTATTTTAACCTTACTTCCTCAAACATAGTGCCAGTAAATTTCTCTAATTGTTCTGATTAAAATGAGTCAAAATACGATGGAAATCGAACTAGTTTTACCGACTTAATGTAATTAACGAAATTAAAAGTTGATTTTCTCCAAATAGATAAAACTACACTGATTTACATCGTGCTTGGACTCATTTTAATGAGAAGAATCTCGACATTCCACCGGTACCACGATTGGGAAGATAAGGTTGAAATTATTGTAATTGAAATTTTCTTCATTGCATGTCTGTATTTGTTGCGTGCGACGTTGCTTTGATGCCCGCGCCACGATCTAATCATTTTTATTTCTTTTTAATTACATTTATGTAAATGTTTATGCAAACGTTGAGATTAGATCAATTTACTTACCTTTACGTACACCGAAACGTACCGTAATCTGTATACAAAATTTATGTGGCTATACAATTATTTTAATCAAACCCAAAATAGAATTAATGCATCCGATTCATTAGTGAATACAAACACAGCACTGCTGAATGCAATTTATGTAGCACACGTGTATCCGTAAAACAGTTTGTTGCAAACTGATCCTAATGTAAATCTAGAATTCAAATATTTCTCTCCTGGAATGTTTTTTAATTTTATTAGTTGCATTACTTGTTCGAAACGTTTCTTCTGAGTTAATTAACAATTTTGCTAAATATAAATATAAAATAGAAATTAAAAGTCAATGTAAGTTTTATAAAATTCTCAATTTTTCAGAAGTATTTTCGCGTTATAATTTTTTATAAACACGAATAAATTTTGTTATTCGTAGTAATGAATTATAGAGAAGACAAATTTTAATCTACAAAAGAAGTATTTCAAAGTTACTTACTGTTAGATTACGGTTATACGATCAATTTTTATGACGAACGTTACGACAGAAACACTTAAATGAGAAAACTCCTAAATGTCTTGTTTATTTGTGCTTATAGAAAAAAAATTTCAGGCAAACTTACACTGTCTTAAAGCATAATATCTGTACATGTAATGATTGGAAAAATATTAGTGTCAACTATTTTTTAATTGAACTTATATAATTTCCAATACATAAATTAATACTTATTAACATTCTTTATAAAATGAAATTATTTGGAAATATTTTAATGTTAATATATACCTAGTAAATCTCTGTATTTAGATTGAAAATCAATTAAAGGAAATAAACGTCAAAGTGAAAAAGTATGCATAGAATGATGGGGGAACATAATATAATGATACAACACATTATAATCCTTTTAAGGTTTCGACTTTACATTAGAAATGACTTGTTCTCTTTAATGCTTCATTATGGCATTAATTACACTGGTTACCGCGAGTTTTACCACAGAAGGTTTAATGGGAGATCTTAACAGTATTTCTAATGCCGAATTCAAGTATGCAATCTGTTTTTCTTCACTTTCCATAGATTTTGAGACAACCAATTTTGAAAAAAAACCTCTATTTTTCAACTTTGAAATTTGTCGTGCCTTAATTATGAAAATTTTTCAAATTCTTCTTGTACAATGTTAGCTTATTCAATATTTATATCACGTAACACTAAAAAATTTTAGGTAGTGTTATAAAAATTACACATCAAACATTGTATAACAACAAAGAGTAAAACTCTGTAAGCTATAGACATAATTAATATCATATTATCAAGTTTGATGGGAAAACCTTTTGCAATACAATATAACACTAATAAAGGAATGTACAACTGTAGGTAATACAAATATCTAACAAGGGAAGTTATCGAACTCGGAAGTTCAAAAAATTATGAAACTTCATGTAAGTAGAGCAAGTCAATCCTAATACATTGTAATTTTTGTTTTATGCTGTTTGAAGAGGTGAAACTATCCTTTGAAAAAATGCAAATTTTTTTCTATGAATTACCTTGAGAATGGTAAGAGATAGAGAAAAGAAGTTTAAAGAAAAAAAATATTGTTCACGTTTATGGAATTGGAAAATAAAGTTTTTCAAAAGAGGTTAACGATGGTGGTATTTTCAATTTTTTTCAACGCATTTCGCACGGTATATATCTGCTCTATCGCATGCTGGAATTATATTTTTTCCTAGACTCTTAGTTTTTAAGATAAATTGAAAAATATCTGCACAACACAACAAATGTTTAAAGTTGAAAAAGTGACTTCTTTTAGAAGTTGATTTTCTTGAAAAATTGAGGGCGGTTGAAAAAACCGGATTGCATATTTGAATTCAGCATAAAAAAATACTATTATGATATCCAATTGAATATATTAAGACAAAAAGAAGGTTAAATTTTGTAGACTAGTGTTATCATTCTTAAAGACGTGTCATAATGAACATTTCGATAACATTAGAAATTATTAATGTAAATATTTTGAAATTAGAACGGAATTGTGTATATTGCTGTAGGTTGTTGAATTTGTTTTTCAAATTCTACTAAAATATGGAATAAAATAGTATAAATTTCGTTCAGTAAAACTTTAATAATCTCAAAATATCATTTAAAAATTACCTAGAGAACAAATCTTTCGCACTGCAATCATAAATAAGACCCGATTCAGTAGCGAATTGTGTGTTATAAAATTCACGATGCAACATAGTGATTAAATGGTCTAAGAATTATTGCCTTCATAATTGAGAATTATTTCATAAAACATTAAAGATAATGGCCTTAGAATCTTAAACTCTTGCGTATTAAATCACTTACGAAGATTATTTTAAATCTTTACTTGCTATTACAAAATACTTAATGTACTGACAACGCAAATTCTTATCCTTTTATACCTTCCTGTGTTGTAAACAAAATAATCAACATTTTATATTTTATGTATCCACGTGAAAAGAAATCTAAGGGATTACATCGAATAATTGAGGTGACTATAAAACAGGACTCAACTTCCAATCTACTCATTTTTACATTTTGTGTCTGGTTCTACACAAATTACCTATACACGGTGTATTGCGCACAAATGATAGGACGTGTGCAACTCACTAAACTGCGTAGAAAGAACTCAGTAAATATGAATCGAAAGGTCACCGAGATAGAAATAGATTTTGCTTGAAAAAAATGTATGAGAACCGAATCAAAAAAATCGAATTATCTCGAAAAGTATCAATGATATGAGCAAATGTGTCAAACAAAAGTTACAGAGTATGAAATACTACATATCACGGCGGGAGATGATGTGCCCTTGAAACATCCTGCAGAGGTCACATCACAATTCTTAAATAAAATCCTATACTTTTTATTCCATATTTTTTAAGCCCATATTCAAACGTTTCCAAACCATAGAAATGAAATTTTACGCCGGTATGTCCGGACAGTGCGACTGTTATGGGGGAGTAAAGGAACGCAATATCCAGGGTCCTCGTTTCTTACACCAAGAGTTTCCGGTCTGAAAATGTGAACGACATCGTCTATCGATCGAGCCGTGGATGCACAGCTGAGAACGCAGTCATCACACTCGCTATCTTCGTTTACCCTTCCATGCATTCTTATTGGAGTTTATAGACTTCGATATTTCACTCGCTCCTCCACATCTCAAGGTTGACTCACTACTGTGTATCTGTCGAAGCCGAGACATTACGTTTTCTCAACCGAGCATCCCCTTGCATTTGTATCATCCAGTAACGAGTCGGACAGTCCGGAAACAATCGCTACCGGCGATACTGATATTTTGATAACGACTTCCGCAAAAAATGTCATTTCTACGGTTTAGAAACATCTGAATGTGGGCTTCAAAAATATGGAACAGAAATTATAGGGTTCTGTTTAAGAATTGTAATGTGACCTTTGCAGGAGGTTTCAAGGTCACGTCACATTCAAATACTTCCTGTCCTGATTTTGAGCTTTCGACCCATGTTTACTGAGTTCTTTTTACTCATTTTAGTGGGTTGTACACGTCCTATCATTTGTACGTAACAATTTCCAAACATCCTGTATACATATTACTAATGAGACACAATTTCTTTGTATTGAGATATGGTTATACTGGAATTACATTTCCTTCTTTATGCTATCTAAAGTATTTTTTAAATTATTATCTCATTCGCAAACAATTAGATAGGATTGCATATTTCCAAAAATATTCGACATAAGTTCAAATTCATACTTGCTTTGAACAGCCGACTGAAGTGATGTAATGATAAGAACTATTTAATTTTACCCTGTATGACATATATTTAAGTTATAAATATTATTTTAATAAAATGAATGATGTATATTAATAGTAGTAAGATCATGGATATATAAAGATTGTCTTACTACTGACTATAATACTAATATGAAATGCATGTAAACATTTAAATCGTACTATATTTTTATGAAGCCTGTGAATGAAACTTCCTACCATAATAGAAGCTGTGTGAGTTCACTGGGATACTTTACACACTTCTACATAATGTATTAAAGTTCAAATGCCGCAGCAGCCTTTTATCGAAGCCAACGTTTTACTATATTTTAGAATTGCAGAAGTTGGAAACACACGTAATTAACAGCGAGAAATTCTCTTAAAATTGTAACTGTAATTGTGCATTGATTAGTCGTTAATATTGAGCTGTTTTTATTTTAAGTCGATGGAATTTTTTAAAATTGCAAGACTGAATTTTAATTTTACAAACGTCTGCAATTTTATGTAATTAAACGTATAGTATCAGACATTCATTAAAAAATATTAGATTATTGTATAGCTACTTATATACTGCAACTTTTAACTCACCTCAGATTTCACGTTTAGAAATTCGGTGGAACTGTATTCTGCCACAGCTTCCTTCGCGCTCTGATAACCTACAATTTAAAGAGATTAAACAAAGCTATAGAATAATTAAAAATCCACTTATTTCTGATTTATTTTTATCTCATACTTATTATTAAACTACGAATATTTATGCAAATGTATGTGTGTAGAAAATTGGTAAATCAATGGGTCATAAATAGAAAATGTTGTAAATAGATAGTTTTGCATATTTTGCATAATACATATTCCTTTACATATCGTACATATTTTCTATATGTTTCACATATATTTATAGCGTGATATAGAATAATTTCTAACAGACCTAATGGATATAATTATAAGCTCATTTAATTTCTTGGTGTTTTTGTAATTTGTATTTGAGATTCGTCTTTTTTTTAAAGATGCACTAAAATACATGAAAAATGATGTACTAAAATTATTTTTTGCGTTACTTATGTGATTGATAAATTATTAAGATTATTTTATAAAACACTGTTTATCGCGCGCGCGGTTGGACACAACTACAAGTTCAATTGGAAGAAATCGCTTTTTTTATATCAAATTGCAGCTATAAAAATGTTTAATATTGCGGAGCTGTATCATTACGATTTATTATTTGAAAAATTCTAATGTTTATGCCGAAAACTGAGTTTTTTCTTCAATTTACCACAATTTCTTTGCGCGTTTTATTTATTGCTACTTTTAATAGACTGAATATTCCATATATGGTAACATTTTTCTAAATACGAGTTATAAGAACTCTCCACATATTTTCTATTAAAAATTTTAGATCCTGCAAATTATTGACCTCAAACCACTTTTATGTTCTTCAATTTCGATGAGTCGCAATATTATCTTGTTAGTATTTTGTTTTTTTAGATTATATTAATATATGATATAAAGAAGCAAACGTGATTTTAACACTTGTTGATAATTAATGCCATTTATTTTGGAGAAAACAAATGTTATAAGGAGATTTTCGGTGATATTAAATGCTTGTCTCAGCATTACAGTTCCAGCATCAAAATTTCACCAGTAAAAGGATATGTTTTAACTTTTTAAAACCATCGATTGCTGTTGGTACGATTAGAAAAAAAAAGATATTTTATTCCTTATTTTCATTGCCGAGAAGGATACGCATCTAAACTTTGCCTTTTTCATATATAACATTGTTTTCTGTCAAAAGATTACTGAAAAGCAAACACTATTGCAGCATTAAAGTTATCAGAACATTCAAGAATGAAATTTAAAATTCATTAAATCAGATTTTATTCATTATTCAAATACAAATTAATAATACCTGTACTGGGAGCGTATCCATTATATAATCCAGAAAGAAGGCTATCTTGAACAGCTTCTGTCACTTCCTTTGGTGGTTTCAAGTTGCCAAATATTGTGGGATCGCCTGTGAGATAAAACTTGGTGTAAGAAACTTATTAATTATATAAGTAAGATGATTAAATAACAATTATTAACACTGTTCGAAAATCACTTTAATCATGACTAATATTTGTTGTATGTTGTATCTATTGAAGTACTTGAACTACTTTTATTGAAGGAGCATTATGTAAACAAATCCCTTAAAAATATATACAAATAATATTACATGGCGTAAATTCTATTTTTCTTAGAATGTTATTTCCATAAATAATATTACAACCATGTATATTTACTACAGTACCATTTTAATGCTTATTTGTCATAAAAATTCAGTAAACTTTTTTTATTATATTATACAAGAAATTAAATAAACGGTTGCAATATTATAGCATAAATTCCAGGAAGAATCTCCATCTATAGGTTCTATCCTGAAAGAAACCCAGTTTGTTTAACAGAAAATAATAACAGTTTATTAAAATAACGTGATTTTGAAATATTACGTTGTTAGGGACATGATTTTGAACAACTGTTTTCTTTATATGTTATTCATGGAAGGCTTTCCGAGATATTCACGAAAAACTGTTCTACTACTACACTGAATTCATAGAATAAAACGAAATCTTTAAAATTTTAAGTCAGAATACATCCAAGGATTGACATTCGTGGATTAAGAACTTAACACTCCAGAAATTATATACTAATACTAATCATACATCATATATATAATCTTTCTTATTTTCTTGAATCAAAAGACAAACAATTCGATTATAAAGAAAAAATCATAACTAATTATCTATGTAAATCGAATTTTAATCTCGCGACATGGGTTCGTTTCTAAATAAGACATTATAGGGAACTGGCTTCGAACTAATTATACTGGAACAGGTCGCGATAAGCGTGAAACACGAAATTATCCAGTATCACGAAATTCCTCGCGAATCCCAGGAACTCAGTAACGGGTAAGTTTCATCTGTATCTGTTTCAAGCATTTCTTTTACTACTTCCAATTACCCTATCAGAGTAATTCCGACACGATTAATAATAGCCGAACACAGAACAGGCAATGGAATATGTTGATTCATGTTTTACATATCTTTAAATAATGTTATTGCTTTCAAAGATAAAAGCAATACCTGCAAATTCTTATACATCTTTGTATTTGACCGAGCGAACTGAATGTTGACAATGCAAACTATTTGTGTACTGAACATAAAAAATGTATTTGATAATATTGGCAACGACAAAACGAAACAACTTCCTAAACCTAAAAAAAATTTATATTTATTTATTTACATACTCATTTACTCGTTTACTCATTTACTCATTTACTCATTTACTCATTTACTCATTTACTCATTTACTCATTTATTCATTTATTTATTTACTTATTTACTTATTATACTTCGCTATAATTGTGTTCAGAAAGTGAAAGGTACACAAAGTTTCATGCGTATGCGTGTATTGTGTAAATAATATAAAAAGTAGAGGAAGCATATTTTCTTCTGTAGTTTATATTAGATTGGATTTTAACCCTTTCATTGTAGCGCTCTACACAAAAGACTACCAGCGTTGTAAGATTCTTAGAAATTGATTTATGTTGATAGAAGGAAAAAACAGCATTTAGAAAATGTTTAAGAAAGTAAAAATTTGTTCAAAAATGGTTCTAAATAATATTCCCTTACCACCCTTGTTATAAAATATTTTGTATTTTTCTGTTTTATCAACTGATATGCAAAATAAATGCAAAAAAGTATTTTAAATATATTAAACGTGGTGAATAATGTAGTGTTTAAATCATTTTGTACGGTGCGTGCTTCTTGCACGTTCATTGTTGCACTCTGGGCAATGCGTTATCGGTTATATATGAGTATGTGTGCTAACCTATCGTTTTTATAGTATTATTCCATTTCTTATTTATGATGACATTATGTCGTAAAATTTGTAAACTTTATTATTAGACCATGAACATAAGAATGTATTATATAATTTTCAATAGAAGTGAATGTTTGTAGACTGTAATATACATTTACATATTGTTTTACCATTGTAAAATGGCATTTAGTCAGCATGGCGTGTATTCACTACAAAAATCGTAGCGTTTCAAAAATATTGGAAAAATAAATGCTTTTTACTTTAGGTACATTGCAATGATGCGGGTTTTACACGCATTGTACATCGATGTGTAAAATAACAAACGCTTACGGAATTTAAACAAACAAGTTCGATTTATATAACAGCCTCATTTTTTAAGCCTGAAAATAACATTCAATTTTTATTACAAAAATTGTTTTTATATCAACTATAGTTTTAAAGATGTAGGTATAGGAAAATATGATAAAAGTTATTTCCATTTATAGGATTATCTCACTCTGAAGACCCAACATTGGACAAACAGAAATTCTCTCATACTTGGTTTGAGATAAAAGAATTTCGAATAAAATCTACAAAGTTTCAAAACCTTGGAACTTCCGAGTCACCGTCAAAGTTCCCTTGTTGGTAAAGTGGTAATAAATATATTTAACTTATTGCATTTGCCACATCGCACACATTCATATTGCATTTATTTTTAGTAGTTCAAAATATTTCCACTATTTTTAATTTTACGAAAAAGGTTTTTAAAATAATATTTATATAATTAGGAGGAATAGATTGTATAGCCTTGAGTACTTTGTAGTCAAGGTTATGATTCGGGAGATTTTAAAATTATTGTTACTTTTCTAAATAATATCACTTATTTTTATTTATTTCATATTATAGTCCAGATCAAAATTAATTTAATAATGCAGAAAACACAACTTGTTACTTAATTTTTCTTCTATATTGCATTTTTGACATGTTTCGGCTTTGACTTTAAAGTAAAAGCTTAGGAATATAAAATTGGACCGAAGAGCATTTTAACAACTGCAGCAAAAATCCATTTTAGTCGCATTTTGTTATTCAAATGGTTAATTTTAAAAGCATACAAATTTAATTCGAATGAAAAACAATTAATAAATGACAGTTGTGAAGCTTTCAGGAATACATGATTGATAGTTTGCAAACGAAAAGGAATGAAAAGAAACGAAAGAGAAGGCGACTAAATACAAAAAACTAAAGAAACAAAATGCTGCTAAGCAAATAAAAAAGATAACAGGATTAAACTTGTTATACGAAAATCCCTTCGTAAGTTTTGTATCTTGACGTTTGTGGTATGTTAATCCGTATTGAGTTAGGAAATCGAGACAAATTCTGGTATTTGTCAAAAACTTGTAATCATAATTTGTGTCCAGGGATGTTCCTACGATTTAGAGACAAATTTTAATTATGGGTTCAGATAATATAATTAGCTTATTATGTAAGAAATAGTTAAATGGTTAACTTGTCAAAACTGTGGTCTGAACAGACCATTTTTAATCTGCACTCTAGTCTCTTAGTAGCTAATGGGTTTAAATATATTACTCGTATGATGTGATACGTTTATAGATAAAACGGCGAAATATAGCTGAAAGTCTTCGTATATCAAAGAAAGTTTTTAGATCCAATTGCATATTTACGCAAAATTTAAAGATTGATTTTAATAATCTATCATACTAATTCATCAAGAACCCAAAACACCGATTGTGTAATTACTATGGTAAAAACACTTGTCATTTGTGTAATGGTTAATAAACATGATTTTTTTAAACATTAAAATACAAATTATGAAAACATTATTTGCATCATTATCTTTTATTTTCTCATTTTTTAAAGTTAAACATTGTAGAAAAAGAGCACAGTAGACAATTTTTATCCGAATTTGACACTTTTCTACGTCGCAATGTATATATGTACATTTTTAATACTCGCCTGATGTGCATGGGAAAACAACATTTTAAAGTATAAATGTTACGAGCGGGACACAGTTGACCGAAGTTTTCCTGTGCATGCAACCGAGTAGGCTAAAAATATCGACCGGAACTGCTACAAAGTGCATGAAGAAATCAAATATGCTCTTAAACAAATGAGTAAGGCAATGCAGAGAGCTAAAAACTGCTCATGTTCTTTTAGAATGTGGACTAACATGGAAAAAAGTGAGGTCGAAAGTGAAATGGTTCGTGAATTTAATTATCCGCCGTTCTATCAGACAAGACTCAAATTAAAAAAACATAACAGATTCATAAAAACTCAATTTTCGAAACGTAATAAGGAAACTATTATTCTCTAAAAGACATATTGTAAAGAAATCTTATGGTCACAGAAAAATATTAATGAAAATCAGGATAACTTTACCTCAATAAAATATAATATATTTAATATATAAATAAAAATTGTATTTGTTTGGGAATTACTAGTAATTGTGCGTAGTTAATTTTACTGAACAGATGTTTTCAATAGACCTCAAAAAATCTTGCGAGAACAAAAGAATTAAACATTCAACTTGACGCTAAATGATATTATCACGATTATAAGATTATGAATTAGAATAACTCTCAGAATATGTTTGCCTCTATACAAGATGACAACATTGCAAACATAATACTCAAATTTTTATATTTCGTTCTACATTTAAAAAAAGTTAACAATACGTTCCTTAATATTTCTTTGCTTTTAACCCTTTCTCTGGAGCTTCCACCACCTAAATAATGATAATTATATTGTTAGGAGATTGACAAGGAATGCTAGAAAGTGTACAGTTTATTTGAAGGTAGAGCCATAGTTCAAAACAATGACTAAAACTAAATTAAAAATATATACCGTAATGCGCGCTTAAAGTCCACAATTTTCATTTCAGGGGTCCCAACAGTGGAATTTAACCGAGTAGAAAAAAGAGGATGAAGGGAATTGACTGGAGCATAGCCTAACAAAGCAAGAAAATCGATATAGTGAGCGGAAGCGGGATAGACACAGTCCGTCGCAAATCGAGGATCGAGACGCGGGACTTCAAAGCGATGCTGCACGCGTCAAATATGAACATGTAATGAAGAAAGTTTCAGTTGCAGTTATTTTAACCTTACTTCCTCAAACATAGTGCCAGTAAATTTCTCTAATTGTTCTGATTAAAATGAGTCCAAATACGGTGGAAATCGAACTAGTTTTACCGACTTAATGTAATTAACGAAATTAAAAGTTGATTTTCTCCAAATAGATAAAACTACACCGATTTACATCGTGTTTGGACTCATTTTAATGAGAAGAATCTCGATATTCCATCGGTACCACGATTGAGAAGGTAAGGTTGAAATTATTGTAATTGAATTTTCTTCGTTGCATGTTTATATTTGATGTGTACAGCGTCATTTCGTTGCTTCGTTAATTGAATTATTAACTAAGAATCACATAAGAATAAGCAACACATAATAATGTAAGCTAATTAATGTTTTAATGTTTAAATGTATCCCTGAATTTAACAACTGATTATTATTTGATGCCAGTGATAAATATAACAGTGATTGATGTCCCGTTTATGTTCTTTAATGCGTGAATATTTTGTTTATATTTATATCTAACATATAATATACAATTATATATTGTAAGATCTATACTGTACTAAAATTGTCCCAAATAGGATAGGTGGTAGGAGAACATTCAGTAGGACAACAGTATATAAACGAAGTGAGGAATACGAGCGAGAGCATTCGAAATTAGTGAATTGAAGAGAAGCGAGCGTGCGTGTAGAAGTGGAAAAGAGAGTGAGAGAGTCGGCGAGCGTGTCGATAAGAGTAGTACGGTTTTGTGTTATACGTACATACTCTAATAGATAAATAAAACTGTTGAAAAGTCCTTTTTATTTTACATAAACCTTACAATATATATTATATGTGCACGCACACACACATATGTACATGTAAGGCTAATGTCAGCTGCACGTTAACTTTCGAAACTTATATTTTGAAAGTGGTCTGTGTGAAAAAAATAAACTTTAGTACATTAAAAGCGTGTGAATATCAGCTATAAGAATGTATCATAAAAGATATGGGGTTTTAGTTTAGTTTAAAAATATTAACGTAACCTTCACTTAAAAAGGATGAAAGTGAAATATGCGCTACTCGCAATTATATAACTTTTGTCTAAAGCATTTTTTCATAGTGTGCGTATGTTTCCAGAGATTTGAGCGTTCCGAGTTAAAACAAACGCACTGTATTAGCCAAAAACTTGTTCACAACATCAATTTCTACAGCAGATGTCAATTTTATGAAAATCAACGATGACGTGCACAGAACAGGTATTATTCCCGCTGTGTTGTAATTATAAAACCTCTGTAATTATTAATGCTAATTTTTTGTCGTTTTTTATGTGAAAATTTATTTATTTAAATAATTATCATCCCTCCTAATTAATTCATGTGACAAACATTTTCTTGTAGTTATGTTACGCAAAATATGATATTAAGAGGATATTCAAATAAAGCTTTTCTTAGAAACGGAGCGTCATATGAAAATATTTTATTTGCTTTAATCAACTTATTTTTTACTGTAAAATAGTCCTTCAGTCGGATTTACTACGATTTAGGAAGCATTCTGCATATCATGGAACGTGGCATTAATGGTGGCATAACTTAAAAAATGTGCCTATATTTTAACGGAGAGGATTTTTAAAACGCACATTCATAGAAATACTGAATACAAGTCGTCTTAATTATTATTATTAATATTATTATCATTGTTGTTATTACTGTTATTATTATTGTTATTATTATTGTTATATTAATTATTCTACATAATGAACCATAGCATTATAAATATACCGTTGTACACAATAAAAATAAAACATAATAATATCCTTGTATTGGATAAAAGCTACTTTGAAATTCTTCAAGTTGTGTCACTATTAATAATAATTTTTATTGTTAATCTTCAATATTCTAAACACTCTCGACGTAGTCCTTGAAGAAATCGTACTCATCTTTATCACATAAAGAATGTAAAAAGTTAAAATACAATACTTCGTGACAGACTATGCAGCCATCCAAGCTACGCCAATAGCTAGATATTAACTGTATTAAAATATAGTTATGCAAGAGCTGAAGCTCATATTTCGTTATACATATCGAGTGATTCTACTCGTGTACTTTTCATTACCAAGCAGCATGGCTTTTAAAATTGAAAAACCAATTGATAATTTATTTTGAAACTACAGTGCACATATATACATCTAAAATATAGTAATAAATTAAATAAAGGTATTACTGAACAGTAATATCTATTAAATCATTTTAAAGCAGCCGTAAGAAACGACTTATCGTCTACCGTTGAGAGGAAACAATCATTGACAGACGCTAAATTCGATCGGTGGTGATCTTTGTCAAGAAATAATGTTACAAATTAATAGGTAGAAGTTGTAGGAAGGTTATAATCAACAGTGGAAATTCAAAGACTTATTAATACGAATATTTTGTAAAGTAAAGATTAGGTTACCTGATTTTCCTAGAATGCTTATGATAGTAGTTATATGTAGATAAAAATTTTATCCTAAATATTTTTACTAAATGGAGTATAATAATTAAATATAGTAATTATTTACAACACTGATTCCTCGATTATTTGAATGACCTTGAAATATGTTGTCAAGGTCATCATTCTGAACAACTTTTCTTCATATAGATTACCGCCATTCGGCCTTAGTTTTGCAGACATTGTCAAAAATATGCCCGGGAATAGGGAGTTTTCGTACTTATTTACAAAAGGAGTAACGCTCGTATGACTTTCATATTGACAAACATTGTTAGGATCATTGTTCTGTACATCCGGGACTTTGAACTTTTTAGCAGTGAGTATTGAATTAAAAGTTAAAATAATACTTACATGATATTTAGGAGTTACTAGATTCTTGATAGATCAACTCGATATTTGTTCAATAATGTTTTATTAATATTTAATCTCCAGGTTACAGAATATTCTGTTTTCTGCGGTATATGCGGTATCTGAGGGTAACAGAATATTTTATGTTCAAGTGGTCGTCTTTAAAAATGAATTCTTGTGATTTTTTGTCCATATCCTTACATATATATGAATTTTCCAATGAAAAGTAAGCAAAAGTACAAAAGAATCATTTAAATTGTTCAATATAAGTCGAAGACACTATAAATATCTTAACGAAACGATCAAGTTTTTCGAAACATGAAAAGCTGTCCGCGGTTACACAAAAGAAGCTCGCGCAATCTACTGGAAAATTAAGTGTTAATATGAACAATGCATTTAAAAAACTACCGAGCATTTAAATTGATTTACTTATAGCTTCTTATAAGAATTAGAAGAGTACATTATTTAAACTTTGAAAATCTTCTTACCATTGTATCTGTACAAATGCACAAATTTATTTTACAATTCCTTGCAAAAACATTTTATTTTAAGATTATTGGAATTAAACAAACTTTTTATTTTACGATTATTCGAATTATAAAAAGGTTTGAAATGGGTCATCTTGACCTATCCGGTAGTTTCAGTGTTAACACTGGTTAGACACAGGCTGATGTGGATAAAGTCTTCCACAATAGTGAACGGTGTATCGAAACATTGTTGATACAATACCCACTTGTTCTTTCTTGAATATAGTAACTCTTACATGTCGTATATTACACAGCATTACACGTTCAACAGTGAATCATTTGCTAATCGTAACTGCATATATATACAAAGGATCTTCAAACTCGGTTTTTTCGAAGACTAAAACTCACACGAAAAAATGTTGTTCTATACTTTCTCTTATCTCGTTAATGAGGAATTATGTCAAGCCCGCTTGTACGAGTTATTTTGCCGGATCCCGTATCATGCGAGCAAAGCTTCCAAAAGAAAAACGTAAAGAAATAACAAATCTCACCGATAGACAATGAGATCATGGGTTTTGTAGAATTCGGTTCAACCACGATGTTCTCTACAATGGACCGTATGGGATTGTGCGTCCTTCTGCCGATATCCGATGCTTGCACGTTCCATTGTTCGCGTAAGGTTGGAGTGGACATCTCGGGACCAGAACTGTTAAACTTCTTTGAAATATTTCTACTCTTGACTCTGAACACAATTGGAAATATATCACTCCGATTTTAGTCCAAATCTTTGCTGAGTTGGGCTATGTTATTATTAATGTTATCGCCGTGTCAAAAAAAGATCGAAAGATCAAAAGACGACGGTTCTGGCGCAAATGGTACTCCATCACTGAGACTAGATCGATTCAGGTACGTCAATAATCGAAATGTTCCACTGGATGTTGGGGGACGAATGAACCGGTCGGATTGGTCGACTAGATTCCACACCTTCTTTCATAATTAATTTGAACGGATTCCCTGCTTACGTAGACAAACAGCCTCGAGATATTTCCTCTGTCGCTGTCTTGCTGATAGAGCAACGGAAACAATTGTATACCGAGTGTTTCATGGGACTGTATCTTCAAAACGTTCACTGCGACACGGAACATACAATTATCAGTTAAAAGTTTGGAATAAAGTCTTGTAAGTACACAGTGAACTTTTCGTGGAAAAATTATATTTTGCTAAACTTGTTTACAAAGGTAGGCGTTAAATAGAAATTTTCATTCTTTAATTTACATTTTAGTACTTTGGAAGTATTGCAATATTTATATTAACTTCTAATGATTTGTTTTATTCGATATTTCTGTACAATTATGTATAGTAAATATATAAAATTTTCAACCCACTCGTTTATACATGTATAGATCAAACGAAATGTACGGTACGTAAACGAAATGTATATTCCCATAAAATATTCCAAATGGTACAAGAATATAACATTTATTTCCGCGTAATGATATTTTTATAACTTCTTGGCGAAAATTACAAAAATAGTAACCAAAAACTGAATAGTTTATGTATATTTTTAATGTTCATAGACGGAAAACATACATTTCCTTAGCTTAGAACATACAGTAGAATTATTAGTACATACAATTCATATCATTACTAAACATGCTAGTAAATAAAATGTCTACAGTAGAATTTAGTTGTAAGAATAAATTTAACATCAAGATAAAATTAAGAATATATGGTGTCATATTTATACAGTGACACACATACTATTTTTGTGTAAAATAAGAAATTGTTAGGTTCTTATAAATCAAGGATTTTACAATTTTATTTGTACAATTGTTTTACTATTTATTAAATTATTCTATGTTTTCTGCTGCACATCAGTTTCAATTTAAAGTCGTACTTTAAGTCGTATTTATCTAAAAAGAGAAAATCGAGGATAATTTTAATCAATGTAAAAGTAATAATCTTGCGAACTAAAATCATTCTAATATCGTCGATAAAATTATAAACATTAATGCATTAATGCAAACGGTATGCAGCCGAAGATATAGAAAGATTTTGTAGGTAATATAGGTAATAGTATAAAAATTACATTATTACTCTAAAACATAAGCGAACATGTGTAAAAAATAATAAACCCCTGATTTAGTGTAACTTGGTAATTTTTTATTCTACAAATTGTTTAAAATAAAATTGACTACCTGCGAGTGTGTTCACTTCTGATCCGGGTGTAAAAAATTGAATATAACAACAACAGTTAGTAGAAATTTTATTACAGCAATTCCAGTTAACCGATTTAGTTTCTATTAAATTCAGGGACACTGTATATAATTCTAATTATAGTCGCTGTTTCGAGAATCACAATTTTAAAAGAGGGAAACAGTCATGAGAATCTTATAGTGAACGGTCAACGATTAATTTGAATAAAAAAAAGTCTCCCAACATCACAAGTTGCTAATGAAATCAGTTTGCAAATTTTTGCTTATGTAATCAATATTTTCAACGCAATAAGAAACAGCGTCATGGAAAATGATTTAGAAAATAATGTTGCATGCTCCAGGAAAATACGCAACAAATGTAAACTATTGCGAAAATAGTATTCGATTGGAGGATCGAGGACGGTTGAACCGGTCAGATTGGTCGACCAAGCTCCACACCTTCTTTCATCGTTTATTCAGATGAATTCTCAGCTTACGTCGATCAGCTACTACGATCATTTTCACCTAACGTGATCGTGCTGCCGCGGTCGAATAAACAGTGGACTGGCCTTGTTACATTTGTTTTTGAAATATCAGAACTAGCAATATTTATGAAACATTCTTTTCTAAGTGCTCGCGCACGTGTCGTTCCTTAGTTCTTCATTTGACATACAAACAGTTCGAAATAATCAGATTGTGGATGCTTATAAATATATATACATTTATATATTTTCGACCATGTTACCATAATGCATTTTTACGCAAAATGAAGAGAAGATTCGACTTATCCAAAGAAATAGATAGGTTCCAATTTTAAAAAGTAGTGTAACTGCTAAATGCATGTGCACTACTGCACGCATAAAAAATCTGTGGCCGTGAATATATGTTGAGTGTTATACCATTCATTCCTGTCCTGTAACATTTTTTTCTGACTTCAAACGAAAAAAAAAGATATGGCTTGTCATAGTTGCGTGAATCGCCCTGTATACACAGAATGTATCTAGATTCTAGATAATAACAGAAACAGGCTATAACTTTGTTACTGGAGATGTTAAAAAAGATTGAGAAGGGAAGCTACGCTATTTGATAGGTCTATCATACTGCTTGTATAGTTTACTTCATGTTACATAAAGAATGTTTAAGGTACTATCATTGAAAGCTCAAGATCCTTCGAGATATTTTACTTTGAATGTTCAGTGTTGTGCGAATACTTATCATATTGGAGTCATTATCTTGTTATCTCGTGTATCAACAAGGTGCTTTCAGAAAATATTCAAAATAAAATATCTCGAGAATTTTTGAGTTTTCAATGCTGGTAGCTCTTGAAAATTACTGTTTTGAAAAAAGAGATTTTTATTTAAGAAAAAAGTGCAATTGCATTTTGCAACAGAATTTATAAAAAACGTGTAACAGTATGATAGAGCTGTTAAATGGCGTAAAAATTTCGTTTATGATATTTTTTTACCTTCAACAGGAACAGCATTGTTAGCCTGTCCAAGTTACTAGATAAAATCTATTTTTGATATAAAATTTCTTATACAATATAAATTACGTGGATACTAATTATTTCCTACTAACATCTTCTTTTTTATTTTTGATAACACTTTACTGGAAATTGCAGAGTAGATGTCTTAATTGTGAACACTGCTTCAATTTTAGTTACTATATCTATTGTGCAATGAATGCCCACATGTAATAACTACATAAATAAACAAACATAATTGTTCATTTATTCAATCTATAGTAGAAATTATAGAATTATTCGAATAAAAAAATAGTATATGATAATATAATTACACAACATAATTCTTTTATTATCGTTATAAGAGATTGGTTACTATGAAAACCAAAGAGAATGTTAAAGGAATGAAATTGGAAAAGTAGCAGGAACAAAAGTAATAAAATTGTATAAATGAAAGCAGCATAGCGAATTAAATTCGCACGCAAGCAGATGAAATTAGAAAGGAAAGTAAAGCGAGAAATGAAAGGAATAAAATATTATAAATCTATTAGACCAAACATTTTCTATACAGACAAATTATTAATTACGTAAAGCTAGATGAGTTTCAAAACGAAGATAATAAACGTTATTATATAATAACGTCTTTTAAACGTAATAATTTTCTTATTTTCTGTATTTTGTTCCTTACTTTCTATTAACTTGTATTAACTCTTTCATTACCAGGGAAAATTTGCATACATATTCGAGAAATTGCAGACAATTCTAAACAAAGATGCATGATTATAAACAAAAATTTATATTTTGGTCAATTTTGATATAAAGTTCATAAAACATTTACACAGTACTAAAAACATCTTAGACTTCCTTTATTACTTATAAAATAAAGAAGAAACTCTATAGATATAATAAAAAAAATGAAATATAAATAAATATTTTCTCAAAAACTTGAAAGTGAAATTTGTTTGTAAATGAACGTAATTTATTGTCTGTAAAAATGAATCCTTTCAATTACTTTTTTAATTCAGTATTGTTATAAGTAAATATATGTAATTGAAATAAGTTTTTACATACAGTTGTGCTCTTACAGAGACACAGCTCCTGGCCTTTCTTGCACATTGAATAGATAAGACGGAATTTTTTTATATATTACATACACGTATTACGATATTTAAAATAAAATATAAGTGTACATATAAATCTACGTGTATTAGATATTGACCGTTCTTTCGTAAAGCAAAATTAACTTTTTAATGAGTTACAGCATTTAAAATTTCGAGCAACGACATATCGCTCTTAGCCCTTTTCGCAAGTGCATGAAGGAGATTGATATCATATATCACTCTTCGCAACTCAAAGGGTTAATACTTTAAATAAAACTGTCTTAGAACATAATAATGAAAACCAAATATAACTAAGAAATAATTGGAATTATATTAAGGAAATAGAATACACGTAAGGAAACAGTTCGAAAAGGTTTACGGAACGGGTCAATTTGATGCATATTGAATTTTATAAGCATCGGTAAATGTTTACGTCGATTTTGAATAAATGTTTACGTTGTAAAAAAATGTACACGAATATATATCCTAATTGTCTACTTTCAAACCTCTAATTTCCAACATCTAAATGAACGAACATTAATTTTTCTAAGAACAATACAATATACTATACAATAGATGTGTCAAAATCTAGTGTTAAGTTTACTTATCGTAACATTAGATAATGAAAAGAATATATTTATTGGAGTTACAGATGGAAGAAATTTATTGTTATTGTGTTATACTTCTTACATTTGGTATATCAATTGGCATCACGTATAAAATAATGATGTTGCAATGTACAATTATTATTGTAAGCGCTCTAGCTTTTGTAGAAAATACAAACTGCGATATTTTGGGAACTATGTGCATCGAATATAAAAGACACAAGAATAAAAGACAGAAGAAAATGATCAAAAATTTTCCGAATTTTTACAATGTATTTACACAACCTTGCTACATTCATATCATACAAATAAATATAGGTATTGGTTATTTTATGAATTGCGTACTTTTAGTAAAACATCTTCCAAACTGTGAAAAGTTTTTATTATAGTTAATAAAACAATCATAAAATATTCTTATTCTCTTTTTCAAAAGACATACACTTATATATATACGTACATATATTCTCTCTTCATTAACGCGGAGTACCCGTTCTACGTGTAGTAGTTTTGCTCGAATGAAAATCGCGTAAATGGGGCCTGTCAGTACAAAAGAAA